CGGGTGCATAAGCAAATGTGGTGAAGAAAGCTGATGGTGCCTGGCTATCAAAAGATATAGCATCTGGGGTCTTAAAGGCTTGAAGATAAGCAAGGCCATCTAGCTGAGATGGAAAAGCCCACATGGAAGAAGCACACCAGTCTGTGTGATCAAGAGGTGTAGAAGGGACCAGGTATCAGGCATCAAAGAACAAAATATCATATTATTGTGAAGAGAGGAAGTGCAGAGTGGGGACCCAAAGCCCATCTATAGGCAACTGGACATCCCCTTACATAAGGGTCTCGGGGAGGAGACGAGCCAATCAGGGTGCAGTGTAGCAACAATGAAACATACAACTTTCCTCTAGTTCCTAAATGCTTCCTAAATCCCCACTATCAGGATCCCAATTCTACCTTACAAATCCAGCTAGACCAGAGGATATACACTGGTACAGATAGGAACGGGAAACACAGGGAATCCAGGACAGATGATCTCTTCTGGACCAGTGCTGAGTGGCAATACCAGGAGGGTGAAAGAAAGGTGGAGGAGAAAGGGGGAACATATTACAAGGATTTACATATAACCTTCTCCCTGGGGGACAGACAACAGAAAAGCGGGTGAAGGGAGACGTCAGACAGTGTAAGATGTGACAAAATAATAATTTATAAATTATCAAGGGTTCATGTTGGAGCGGGGAGTTGGGAGGGAGGGGAAAAATGAGGAGCTGATGCCAGGGGCTCAAGGATAAATTAAATGCTTTGAGAATGATGAGGGAAACAAATGTACAAATGTGCTTGACACAATAGATGTATGGGTGGATTGTGATAAGAGTTGTACGAGCCCCCAATAAAATGATTTTTTTTAAAACGTGTTTAAGGGGGAAAAAAGCATCAGAATAACTTTGCTAAGGACCATGAAAAGGGAAATCCACCAAAATCCAGTGCAATTAAGTCAAAGACAAAGTAGAGCTGCCCCTTTGGGTTTCTGAGGCTATAAATCTTTTTTTTTTTAACATTTTATTAGGGGCTCATACAACTGTTATTGCAATCCATACACACAGCAATTGTGTAAAGCGCATTTTTACATCATTCTCCCTCATCATTCTCAAAACATTTTCTCTCCACTTAAACCCCCGACATTAGGTCCTCATTTTTCCCCTCCCTCCTCGCTCCCCCCTCCCTCATGAGCCCTTGATAGTTTATAAATTGGTATTTTGTCATATCTTGCCCTGTCCGACGTCTCCCTTCACCCACTTTTCTGTTGTCCGTCCCCCAGGGAGGAGGTCACATATAGTTCCTTGTAATCAGTTTCCTCTTTCCTACCCACTCTCCCTCTACCCCCCGTTTCGCCACGCACACCACTGGTCCTGTAGGGCTCATCCGCCCTGGATTCCCTGGATTCAGTTCCTATCTGTACCAGTGTACATTCTGAGGCTATAAATCTTTAAGGGAGCATAAAGCTCCATCTTTCTCGCAGAGCAGTTCCCCCAAACTGACCGCCATTGAGTCAATGCTGACTCACAGAAACCCCCTGTGGATTTCAAGACTAAGTGTTGACAAGAGTAGAAAACCCAGTCCTTCTCCCTTACAGCTGCTGGTGCTTTTGAAATGCTCACTATACAGATTGCAGCTCAACAAGTAGCAGCTAGTGGATTAAAATCACTAAACATGTGGTTAGCAGTACAATGCCTAACCCTCTATACCTTCACGGCTCCTTTGGAAGGGAGAGGAGCACCGTAATTCGAGAGGGGATGCAGTTCCTAGCAAATACAGGGCAACAAGACAGCTAAGCTGAAGTTATAGCTAAAGCCACACATGGAAAATTGGAAGGTTAGAATATTTAAGAGGAAAACCCTGATAACCCAGGCATTAATATTAAACCAACAAATAGTGAAGAATTGACTGAATTACTTTTCACTTTAGAGGAAGCTTCCTAAATTGTTGCATTATAAAAACCAATATTAATCAGCTTTCCATATATTCAAGAGCACTGTTTCATTAAAGTGTTTCTTTTATAAAAATATCCAGTTATTCTTCAAAGCTACAACAAATGATACACCAACTATTCATATACTTACTTATGATTCCTTCTACAGCACCATGCTGAACAAATTTTAAACTTGAGATTTTAATATCTGCACCTGTACAATCCACAAAAGTGTCTCCTTTGCCCCTCTTTTCGATCACAACATCATCTGGTAGACCATATCCTAAACAAAAGATCAAGAAGCTGGGTGAGGGGAAATGTCTACAGAGAAAAACACAGATTGCTTTGGTTTAAATGATTTCACATGATACTTGAAAGCAATCAACCAGTTGCATTTAATTAATCTCTCATCATATATCTTGGTTAATTTGAATCGTAGTATTCCATTTTTAAAAACACCTCAATATGCCCCATATCAGGTAGACTGTCCTATGGACCATCCTTGACAAGCTCAATATCAAATTCACTTACAAAACTACTACGAAGCAATAAATAAACAATCCAAATGCTGCTCACAGCTGAGTCAAAGGGATTTAAGCATTCAATCTTTCTAAGTTGTTGGGTTTTTTTCCCCCAGCTTTGAAAGATACTATGAAAATAATATAAATTAGCTTTGAAAAAGCATTTTGCAAATTCTGGCCATTTAACTTAAAATAGTTCACTATTGGAAAAAGCCTATCTTATTAACTAATAGAAATTACTGGGCCTCTACAAATCAAACTAAATGTCAGCAGGACTGCTGGATGGGCTTACAAAATACTGGAGGATCAGAAATTTAGAGAACTAGCCTGATTTCCATCATGAAATAGAACCTCATACACAAATCTGTAAATAAATAATTCTGATAAAAAACACTGGTTTTTTATCATCAGGAAAATAAAAAGATCTAAAAAGAATTGCCATAATGAAAAAGCCATGAAATTATTAGATGAAGAAATTATGTATTCTTACCAATTTCAAACATAAAGCCATCAACTAAGTAAACAGAAGTTCTAAACAATAAAAGCCCAATAAAAGCCAATGTTAATACCCTGTGCATAGTAGGGACTCAGTATTTATCTGTTACAAGTGTTAGCTATAGCTTACTGTCAAAGAAACTTCATCTTATTCAAGAATAAGTACTCTATTCACACTAGTAAAGATACCATCTGATTCCCCCCAATTCTCTAAAATGTCCTGTATTGGTAAATTTAGTCATTTTTACACTTAGCTATCAGAATTCTGGATGGTTATTTATGACACACTGGCAATTACAATATAATTTCCTTGCCAATCTAAAAAGAACTCTTATCCACCACACAATCTATATCAATGTTATTTTCACTATGCCAAAAATAAAGTGTTTTTATTGCAGTGTTTTATCCTGCAGATGTGTTATTTATACACACACATCTATATAAATCAAATATTGGAGAGGAGAAAGAACAAAAATTATACACATAAAACAAAAAATGGGTGAGATGATGTACTAGTGAACAGCAGGAAATTAAACTCCCAGCCTTGCTTCCATTAAGAAGTTCTGACAAGATAAAGATAAAGAACATAGCTTAAGCAGTTTGTGAACAGCTGCACAAGACCTAAAATGATATACAATTTTTTGCATTACAAGTTTTATTGCTAACTTAAAGTTGTTTTGGTAAAGAGTTGAACAGGTGCATCTAAATTTGACATTTTATAGAAATATATGGGCCCAAGATGAATGTCTTTAAAATAACTGAAATTTAGGAATCACTCTAAATGTACAATAAGATCATAACAAATAAAAAGTTATCTTTAATAAAATCTTTCAACATTAATTTTCCCAAAATTACACTTTGGCCAAGACACAAAGTGTACAGTTTGTAACATTCAACATGCTTTTAGAGAATTAAGATGCTTATTTTGCTTAAGATTAACCAATCTTAAGTTAAATGTACTTCCCTACACACTAACAAAAATACAGGCAGTCCCCGGCTTGTGAGATGCTTATGTACAACCCATAGTGAATCAACCCATTTAAAGTCTAGGACACTTAAAAACTGAAGTGCAAAAAAATGAATCATAACAAATAGGTACAATGCACATTGAAATATTATTTTACTGTAGTACTATGTTAAAGATGTTTGAGTGTATCTGGAAATGTTTCTTTAAATTTTTGCACATAGTTACAGTACACTATATACTATATACTAAGACAACCATTTATTTACCTAACTGATGTTAGATATGAACCATACCCAACTATTGCAACTTATGTAAAATTCTGCTTAAAAAGTCTTAGGAACTGAATTTATTCATAATCTGGGGATTGCCGGTAAACTAAATTTAAATTTAAAGGGTTTTTTAAATTAACAAATAATAAGTTTAAAAACCATACACCATATGTCCACAAGATATGAGGAGGCTTTAAATTAGCAGTTGCAGTTCAATGAAAAATAGAATTAAAAAACAATGGAATTTTTCCACAAACCTTTTGAAGCTCCTCATATATGAATTAAGAGCAAGCATCAAGTCCAAAACTATTCAACTAAAATAAAATGCTGAAAATATATTTTTCTTATTCTAGAAGTAAATTTTTCTTTGTATAAACCACTTACAATTTGGAAGGTACCCTTCTTGCTAATGGTTTTAACTATAGACCAAACCAAGCCCACTGCCATCAGGTTTATGCCAAATTCATATTCACCCTATATGACAGGGTAGAGCTGCCTCTGTTGAGTAACTAAGGCTCTGCTTACAGGGGTAGAAAGTCCCATCTTCCTCCAGTGAAGCACCTGGCGGTTTCAAAATGCCGATCCTGCAGTTAGCAGCCCAACTTATAACCACTACACTACCAGGGTTCCTTTTACCATATATTGAATGTTAATGCTTTCCCACACATATACAGGTTTCAAATTGCTCAACAAGGGGTCAATCCCCTATAAACTTTAAACGCTATTAGTTTCAGAGAAATTCATTTGAAATCAAGAGTTAAAATTATATTCTTAAAGTTGCCACCACACTATACTTGTACTACTTTCGTAAGCATATCATGCATGAGAGTCTAGCTGTAGAATCTTCCAAACTCACCTTCCAACTCAATGGAGTCCGCAATGGAGAACGTGCCATGGACAATGTAATGGCCAGGACACACAATAACAGTGTCGCCTTCATAGCAGGAATTTATCGCAGACAGTGGATCATGATGGAACTAGAAAATAACAGTAGCATGTTGAAGATTATGCTTCCCAAAACCAAACCAAGTATAGTGCACGGAGCCCAGTGTACATGTGGTGACTATCGTTGACAAAAATCAGTGGCTCTCATTTCTTCCCAGTTATCAAAAGGCAGCACTGGGAGGTTCTTGTAAAAATGTTGTAGGATTCATGAAAACTTTTGTAAATCAAAAGGGAAAGAACTGCCTGGATTGGGAAAGTCTCCTTTTACCTGAATTTCTATGTCTTCCCTACAGGACTCCTGACAAAGCTTGTCCCTGAGCAGAGATTGCAGTAGGCCAGTCCTTATGGTAGAGGAGACCACATGGGCTACCTTCTGGCCACTCACACGGACACCTTTCGCTTGGATATTAGAATTCTTTTGGTAACCGAATACATATCTTAAAGAAATCAAACAGACATAAAAGATTTTAGAAAATTGCTGGAGGAAAAAAAAAAAGTCAATCAACTAAGAGTAACAAAGATCACCTCAGCAAAGGATTCTCAATGAGTTTCAGCTTCTGTTTCAGCTGTTCAATCTCTGAATATAGTTTTAACCCTTCCACCATAGAGATGTTTTCCTGCTCAGAATCAGAGTTAGAATTTGACAAACTGCTCCTCAGATTTAAAAACCTTCTGTAACTCTCCTCACATTGTGACAGCAGATTCCGATAGTCAACAATTAGTCCTGAAGGAACACGGTCTTCAAGAATGTCATAATGCCTGAAAGTTAAAAAGCAAGTTAAAATTAATTGCCTTTCAACTACATTTTCATTAAGACAGTCCATTTAGTTGTCCAAGACTCAGTGATAAATAAAAATACCATATACAGTGAACCCTTGTTTATCGCGGTGAATCGGTTCTAGACCCTACCGTGATAAATGAAATTCCGCGAAGTAGGATTCCTTATTTGTAAATCTAATATTTTTGTAGTTAGAGCATAGAGGACATGAAAAAACACCCTTTAGTCACCATTACACTCGTATTACCCAATTTATTAAACGAAAAAGGGAAAA